ATACGGTTATTCGCTCGATCAGCAACATAGATAGTTTGGTCATCGTCGACATAGATACCTGATGGGTAGAAGAGTTGATTGCGTTCATTGCCTTGGCTATTTCCTCCAGCTACAGTGATTCCATTATGTTGCCATCGAGCATTAGAATGAATATCAATAGCAGGTGCTCGTAATGGTGGTACTGAAATGTGGAAGAGAAATAAAAATCAACTATATGAAGATGATTGGCTAATTTTTTGTGTACTCAAACAGCGAGTACACACTAGAATCGGTCAGCGTGTCCGTCTGTTGAGTCATTTACATGATAACTTTTGAAAGGGCAGTCTGATCGCGATGAAAATTTCTACACAATTTAGTCTTAACAATGTTTCAGTCAAATTTGAAGATCAGAAGGATTGGGCAAGCTATTCCTGAGTTATTGGAAAAATACTCATTCTTCCCGATGACTTCCTCTAGGAAAATCAACTTATCCTCACTTTCGACAAAAACTCTTCCTTTCATACTCAAATGAAATCCCAACTATTAGATACCATTCAATAGAGAATTTCAAGAGCTACAAAGTGATGCATAAAATATAAAGACACAAGAAGGCTAGCTCACCTATGAGAAAGGTCAATAAGCAGAAATCAGTTCTGTTTTTGTCTGCGGTCTAATCGATCCACAAGTAGAGCTCTATTTTCCGATCACAGAGATGATGGTTTGAGGTTTTCTAGGACGAAGAACTCAAATTGTACTCCACTTCTGTGAAAGCCCCATTGGTTGAGCACAGACGAATAGAAATCAAGTTATGAGGAAAAAGTCTTTCTTAGAATCATTTAAGGCGACGAGTTCAAATCTGAATTGTTATCACCTCGAAATCCTATTGGTTGACCAGAAACGAGTATAATTCAAGTGTTTTTAGAAAGCGCTTGCCAGTCTAATTTTTATATCCAGACATTCTAAGATGACCGATTTGTCTCATTCACTGTTTGACGTACATATAACTCTTGGATATAAATCTAAGATTTCCACATTTATTTCAATTAGGTATGCAGCAGCGCCAATTCAGGGCTGTGGACTGGGTACCTAGTCAAATGGCACTGATGCATACCTATTTTGAATAGTTTCTGGTAGAGTAATCATTGATTTTCTCCACGGCCAGCAATCATTTGAGGTCACTCCTCTCAATTCCGAAGAATAATTTATTAATTTTTTGATTCGATGCGTTGTATTAGTTGCCGGGAAACTGATTTTGCTATACGGCGTTATGTAGGATACTTGCACTGGCCATGATGGGCATAATGGGTATAATAGGCATAATGGGCATATTCAAACACTTTCTGCGATTCTCTGTGTGTCGTTGTCGCTGAGTATACCTTTTCAGTACACATCTGCTGCGATGTTCTCTGAGGCCTTCATTGTGAGAGTCCTTCCTTCGCATCCACACGTGGTGCGATGATGTGTGAGTCCTTGTGATGACAGTCCTTTCTTCGCAGGCGCACCTCGTGCGATGATATGTGAACTCTTCGCAGTGGAAGTCTTTTCCAAGCACACGCGCTTGGTGCGATGTTATATCTGTCGTGTTTTTTAGAATTCAAGTATTTTAAATAGAATTAAGAGCTCAATACCGTTCATGATCATATATAATACGGCGACTATGCCCATTATGGCCATTACGACGATTATGCCTATTATGCCCATTATGCCTACTATGCCCATATTACCTTATGGGAAACTGAATGTCCATTCCGGAAACTGAAATCAATTTTCGGAAATTGATCAATGTCGGAAAAGTAAAGGAATTTCCTGGAAACTTATATAACGCATCATATGCATTTTTTTATATATCGAATAGTTTTATACTTATTAATTCGCTCAAAATTGAATACAACCATTTTTTTCAACGGTTTTCCTTTTTACTGATAATCAATCATTTCTGAACTTGATTTTTCTCTTAAAACATTCCTATTCATCCTTATGCTCACCCTCGATTTTAAATTTTTGTATTCGATGATTTTTCCAATCGACGACATACAGATTACCATATCGATCGAATGACAAACCGACTGGCCAACGAAGTTGGTCTAATTGTTTTCCTGGACCGTTTTCACCAACAATAACATTTCCCTGTGGAGCTCCTTTCATCCATCGCATGATTCGATTATTCGACTGATCAACAACATATACAGTGCCCAATCGATCGACCACGAGTCCTTCAGGAAAGAATAATTGTGTAAGACTATTTCCAGTTCCTTTACCCCCAGCCACGACAATGCCTTGTTTTGCACCTTCATCCCATTTCATCACGCGATGATTCAGAAAATCGGACACATACACTGAATGATCTTGATCGATGAATACATATCGTGGATCATTGAGTTGATTGAAATGATTTCCACGTCCATTACCACCTGCAATCACTGTTCCTTTAGATTCTCCTCTTCGATATCGTTTCACTGCATGTGTATTCCTGTCAGTGACATAGAGAGATCCATTCTCGTCCATTGTCAAACCCCAACAAGGGATCTTTGAGATGATCGTTTCTCCACTTGTCCCATTTCGAAGAGGCCATCGAACTACCCTTTCATTGGCATGATCACAAATGATGAGACTATCTCTCTCTTTATCGACAATCACATCTGAGGGATACCAAAGTTGACTAGTCTCATTTCCTCGTCCATTCCCACCAGCAACTACTTGACCGCTCTTCGCATCCAATTTCCATTTCACAATACGGTTATTCGCTCGATCAGCAACATAGATAGTTTGGTCATCGTCAACATAGATACCTGATGGGTCGAAGAGTTGATTGGGCCCAGTGCCTTGACTATTTCCTCCGCCTACAGTGGTTCCGTTATGTTGCCATCGAGCATTGGGAAGAATATCAATAGCAGGCGCTCGTAATGGTGGTACTGATATGAAAAAAAAGGTGAAAGACAAATAAAAATCAATTATATGTGTAAATTCTTTAGGTTTTTTGAACAGTATTGAGTAGAGTGATCGTTGATTCTCTTCGCCGACAACAGTCATTTGAAAAAAACTTTTGATTGCAAAAAATGATTGTTCAATCTCTTTTACATTTCAAATACTTTTAGTTATTAGTTTGCTCAACATTGAAAACAATGATTATTTATTTTCAAATATTTCCTTCTGGTCAAAACTATTTATTGGATTTTTTTTGAATCAATAAATAATGCATTGCAACGAAATAGAAAAATAGAATGTCATAGACATGATTAGGGCATCCAAAGTTCTTTTTGAATGAAAAGATCAATGTGTGAACGACAACAAGTTTTGTACTAGACATATAGTGTCTCGCAGTGAATCTGAAAATGAGGAAAACTCAAAACCAAATAGACTTAAAAAAATTCTTGCAACTTAACGAATTATTCAATCATGTCATTATCTAAGAAAATAGAAAAATCTTGTTGAATATTTTCTTATTCTCAGGAAACAAATGAATGACAAAACATGTCATTTTTGATAATGCATGAAATGGATATTGTCTTTAATGTATTTCTAATCTCATGCATGTATTCATGATTTTCGGAACTTTGATTTCATGAAAATGATAAAATTTACAATAATCTGATACCATGAAATCTTGTTCTGCAAAAAAAAATTAAATTTGAATCAAAGATCATGACATCAGAAGAATGAAAGACAGATAATACTTTTTTCACCTAAGTTATCTGCAGACTTAGCTGCAGCCACCAGGTAATATTTGATAATTTCATAAAATTCAGACTGATTACTCTTTGAGAAGCTGCGCGATGATATGTTTCAATAATTCATTTTACTCTAGAGTCATATAAACAGGAGCTTATTGTACAAGACACAGAAACTATGAGCATTTTTACGCAGCAAACCTCTCATGCTGTTCAGCCTTGCTTGAACAATATCAGTAGTTGTGAATGGATGGTTCACTCTTAAGTTGAGTTTATAAGTTACTTACTCCATTTTAAAGGTGAGGGTGCTAATGACTTTTTAATAAAACCAGTTAGGAAAAATATTCCAATTCCGAACACAATTACAAGAAGAAAGACACATCCCAATACAAATAATAGTGAATACCAATTTTGTTGCCAAGTATGCAGATAATGTTGAATGAAATTTGTCCAGGATCGCAGGGTCGTTGTACCTAGGACAAACTAAAGTCATATGTATTCTCTAAAATTAACAGATATATTCTTTTTTTGTCAATATCGATTACTTTCATAGTTGTAAGCAAGTTTTTTCTGATGAAATCATTGTAAAATTAATACTTTTCATATCAGAGAAAATTTCGACATCGCTCGAAAAGCTATGAAAAATTGTATGTTCTGGTTTGCTCGCTTTGTAATTTACGCATTAGCTCTTAAGATAAGAGTTTGATAAAAATATGTCGATTTGATTAAATGTGATGCATGAATATATTTTTAACAAATTGCCTAAATTATTTTCTCATTACCAAGACATAACCTGAAAATTTGATCATAGATGAAACTCACGTATTTCCAATTCTATAAAGTTTTTCGCTCATTTGTTCTGAATCTTGAATTTTCACACAAAGAAGCTTGCATAGTCTACAGTGTGTATTTCGACGTCCTCAAGTAAAACATAGTAGAAACATTATGTCAATGAAGAAAATTTAAAGCAACTCCTTCACTAATGACTAATATATTTATCTTTTTTGATGATGTTGTACTTATTATGAGTATAAATATGGAAAGGACTTTGATGATCAATGGACACTTCTCCGCACGTTTTATGTATCATATTGTTTTGATTGTAGTTCAACGTGAATCGGAACTTATGCGTAAGAACACATATCCTGATGACTAAATCTGTGCTTTTTATTATTGCTTGGACTCTTCAAGCACAAATGTACTGTAATTACATACTAGTTCTAAGAATATCTTATGGGAGAAATTCACAGTAATTGTTTCCCCGTTCTTAGGAACAGAAACGCGACAAGTGTTTTCTTCATCTCAGTAGAACTTTTCCAATTTGATCGAATTAAAGGCAACTTCCTATGAATTAGACGTTTTTACAAAATTTGACCAACAGTAGCCAAGATCGAGGAAACGAAATTTTTAATCGATTTTTCAAAGTTTTGAGTTTCATTTTTTCATCATGGAAACTGTTTTTACGATAGTAGTAATCTGTACAAAGTGTAACCAAAGTAATTGAGACTGGAAAATGACAATCTGTAATCGATTTCCCAGAATTTCGAGTGCATTTTTTCAAGGAAAAAAATTACTTGTTTTCAAAAACACATACACTATGCAGCTTATTAGATTCTCAATCAATGCCGATCAATGGTGAAATTAGCGTCCCGAAAGGATGAGACACAAGAGAATTAGTAGCTGAGCTATCTATAGACATTGTACGATGTATAACTTGGCAACAACGAAACCTTTTGAACTGAGGCTTTCGTTCTTTCAATTCTCTCTATATAGACTATCTTTGTTGAAAGTTTCGTTAAAATTCATTGAGCTCTTGTGAACTTGAACTCATTTTACTAAAGACATAAGCGACAGGGGAAACTGTCAGTTAGAATGCGTTTGCCACAATTCAATCTGAAATTGACATATCGATCTCAAACTTACAGCAAAGGACACCCCATAGATAGATAGCATTCTCTAAAAGTTTCACTTTTATATTACTTACTAGAGAAAAATGGTTGTCTATATTATTGTCTGTCATAAAGTTTTCAGAACTACAGCTACTATATAATTTTTGTAGCTTGAATAGGGCATCGTAAGAACTACTCGTTGTACCAAAAGTATCATCCAAATTTTGCCAAATCGCAGGAAATCAGCATCAAATTCACATATCACTGTTTCTGTCTAAAGCTTGGAGAGAACTTACAAACTCTAACTTGTTATGCTGTATTACTCTGATTTTCCAGGGCTCTTAGTCTCGAGATGTACAATGAAGTGAATTTCCACTTGTATAGTAGCTATACTTCTGAAAATTTCACGGTACACAATATCATAGATAAGCAGTTTCTAGTACAATTTCCAAGCCAAAATACTGAGTCTAACATGAGACTCGAGTCATAAAGTCGTGCGGTTGTGATCTGTTAATTCCATGACTAGACAGAGATTATTTCAGAAATTAAAAATGGTAGATCAATTTGTCATAAAAACTTGACTATAGAGACAAGAAGAGCCCATCTTTCCAACTGTGGATCGAACACTGTTATATCGTCTTTCTAACTCAAGATTATTCTATAGAAAAATGTCTTTAATATTAGCCTTAGATTTCAGTCTAGATAAAGGTTTCGAGCTCAAACTTTTGTATGCAATCAGGATTCATCAAGTTCTTCTTACGATACAAGCTGCAAAACGACACACCCTTATTTCAACAGTCTTTACCTAGCAGAAGGAAGAATTTTTGTAAACAGCTATACTTGTGCTCACTCACTATCAATATAAAACTTCTGTATTGTGTCTTGTGAATTCGTCATCTTTTTATGATAGATTCGTGTCTCTGAACATGCTGCTTTTATGCTCCAAAGATGATGTCATTTGTTTGAGTATGTAAGTATCTAGACCCATGACAACCTATTCACGTTCAGTTCAGTGTTGTTTTTCTACAGTAAATGACGTAAGGCTGAAAGTTTTAGAGACTGCTGCATATCTGTGGAGAATCCTATAAAATGCATTTTGAGTATATATGCCAATCCACATTGAATTGTGGGGATGAGTTGCTTACTGAAGATTTCTCATGTCACGCATGTCTTTGGTAAAATGAGTCTAGTTTCATTAGGATTTGATGAACATTGATGAAATTTGAATCGAAAATAGTCAATATATAGAGCTTTTAAATAATCAAAGATTGATTTCAACAGATTTCGTTCTTCTCAAGTTATAGATTCTACAATGCTCATAGATAATTTGGCTGATAACTTGCTTGTAACTCATTCTTTCAGGATGACGATTTTCTCCTGATCTACATTTATCACACATCATAGAAACTCCAATTTTCAGCGCCACAGCTCGCATAACGGCTGAAATCCGAGTGAAAACACTATTAGCCAGTATGGTATTCTAACAGAAATCTCTTTTATAAAAAATTATTAGGTTTACGAAAGAATAATTTTTTATTGATAAAACGAAGTTTTCAGCAACCAAGAACTCTTTTCACAAAATTATTTTTTTGTAAAAAGGGTAAGTTTACTCTCCAAAGAAATAATTTTTCTGTCAAAATATTTTTTGAAAAAAAGAACTATGTTTATAAAAATCTTCTTTCCTGAAAAAACGAACTCAAAAATCCCAAAAAAATCGATTCCAGATTTGGGATCTCCAGCCTTAGTAATATTGGTCATACTTAGTAAAAATTATACTTTTCGGGAAAAATCTTGTCCATGATGATAAAACCAAATTCAAATCTACGGGAACCTTATTACGGATTTCGGTTTCCTCGATCTCGGTTACTTTTAGTCAAATTTTGTAAAAGCATTTAATTTGTAAGAAGCTATCTTTAATTCGATGCAATTGGAAAATTTCTAATGAGGCGAAGAAAACACCTGTGTTCACATTCACCGTTCTTGGGAACGCGGAAAACAAAAGTGACACCCCTATTGTTTCACAGTTATGTATATGACGTCTTTTTTTCTTCATCTGTCTGTGACTGATATTTTTAAAAACAATCTGTCAACGAATATTTACGTAAACCTTTACCTAAAGATAGGTATCAAAGGTATTAGAGTTTTCTGGAAATCTAAGCTCACACAAGTCTGTTCTTCGATAAATATTGACTTCCTTAGACAAGTCATTTTTGACTTCGTTGGATAAAGCTGATATGCTTTAAAAACCTACTAAATTATGAATAACGTAAGCATTTAGACTGGAAATAATTTAGCCTTCAAATTACTGCGATTCTTAGATCTGATTAACTTACTTTTTTTGGTGGTGTTGCTTGATAAGATTCGCTCTTTAATGTCCACTAATTTTTCGCGCCATTGCACACTCTCTTCATAATTCTTTTGTTGAGAGGCAATTTTAGCAAGGTCCTCATACACAGTGAGAAGTAAAGGATCGTTGTCCGAAAGTGCTTTCATACAACGAATATAGTAAATTTTAGCCAGATCGATATTGCCCATCATCCATAACACTTTGCCTAATGTGCACAGATTCGTCTCATCAGCATCAATTTCCTTCTTCATGTCGCCAAGAACTTGCTTCAATCTATGTTCATCATCAGCACACAAAGACATTTCAATGATCCAGACTTGATTGTCATCATCATAAGTTATAGAATTGAGACGAAAAATAGAACCAAGCATAAAGAGTACCTCTTCTTCATCAGCAAAATAGCTAAGCATAGTGATATTAGCAAACGGTTTTGTCTTCACTACTTTAGAATCAGCATCGATTTCGAATAGAACTCGTTCCAAATTGATCATTTGAGTTCTATCACCCATATAGAAATCAGCTATTTCTCGTTGAATACTAGTGGACAGAAATGAATTCACAGAAACGAATTGGCCGATACTTTTTTGAAGACAATTTAGTTCATCACTTGATATTAATTGACTTCGATAAACTCGAACAGAATGTTTAGATTGGTAGTGTTGCAACTGACGATATATATCAGTAATGAAAGAACGATACAAGAAGATCATATGAATATTTTGCTTACGTAGAGCCGCGTTCAGGGTCTTATAGAAGAATGAATCACGAGTATACCACCACAAAGCCTTGTCAATTGAATAATCCTTTTGGAATTCACGAATACGATTAAGCTCAGATTGATTGCCTTCGTATTCTTTCTCGAAACAAGAAATAAGCTCATGTTTATCAATCTCATTAGATTTTAATTGGAGAAGACAGTCGATAAGTAGCTGAGAAAAAACAAATTGACCGTTAATTCCTGTTGTTGATTTGCCTGGATCACGTGTTGTAGTAAATACATTGATCCATACGGGTTCTTCCATTTTTCTTTGACGTTTATGATCTTCATTGATTTGAGAAACTAGTTCGTCGAAATTAGCATTGACCTCTTTTAACTGAAACAACGATACAATATATCTGAACGTTGCCAATAGATCTTACCTTCGCAAATTCATATGCCCACTTTTCATTGCTCTCGTTGTTCTCAGACTTGATGTAAACTGCTGAGAGTTGTCGAAGTTGATGAATGGAAGGGACTAGTTGGCGACCCAACTGGCTACTAGCAATGAGGACTAATCGATCATCTTCTGATGCTTTTTCAATGTAATTTTTGCACTCTTCTACATCATGAAATTCCTTGATATGATTAATAGTAGCACGCAGTTTTTCTTGCATATTTAGATTCTTTGAAACATTTTCATTAGCATCAAGCCAGATAAGACTGAATATTTCTAGATGATAGTCATTGAAATTGGTAAAAGAATTATCTCGCGGTTGAGCAATCGTGACCATCTTGATAGAATAACGAAATCGTAGCTCTTCAAAAAGTTATCTCTATATTAATGCCATCTAACAGGGTAGATAGAGAATATGTTCAAAGAATAAAAATTAAAAGAATATTCAGAAAACAATATGTGAGGATAATCTAGTGCTACCGATACTTCTCTCCTTCTTTTCTCTTCTCATATCTTGTTTTTTCAGATAACAGACAAGATCTGACATCATCAGTGATCATGGATCAAGATTCACTTTATTCAAACAATTTACATCGCAAAAGTGTTTTCATTGACAAAGAAATTTGGTGATAGTTTGGAGATTCCAACACAGCGGTACACAAACATTTTGTATTAAATAAGTCACTAAATGCAGGGAGAGAGTCTTTTCAATTTTTAAAATTGATTTGAGAAGCAGTCATTCTTTCATCAAAAGTATTTGGCTGAAGAAAAAACAGAAGCACTTTAATAGAAATCAAGACGGTGAATCTTCGATTCTATGTGAAAGTTGACGAAAAAATCTTCGAAGTTTTTCATTTCTAGAAAAATGAAAAGTTGCAAAGACTTCTCCTCTCGATGGTTATTTATTCTATTAGGATGATTATTAGAACAATATAGGCAATGAAATAAGGTAGAAACTTACCGTTCACTGTCAGCAAAATGTTTTTCTTGGCTAAAATGTACAATGTAAAATTCAACGTCTAGATCATCTCCGATCCAGTATAAACATTATATGTAATATTTATTGCATTGTACTATAATTTTTTTCCTTGTAGCTGTGTCTTTTTTCATTCGATATCTCGATAAAATGCCCTCCGTGTTATACAGATATTGCCGACAGAGAACGGTCAAGAAAGAAAAACATTAAAGTAACATACATACGGCAAATACAAAGCTAAAACAAAACACAGTATAACACTAGAACAGAGAAGATATGATAATGCACAACATATAGAGAGAGACCGACCATTGATGACAGGCTTACGATAAGAATAATATACTTCGCGATATCTCAAAAAAAACTGACATAAATAATTAAGAAAAGAAAAACTTTTAGAATCAACACGATGGACGTAGTTATCATCTTTTCTTTCTTTGTCTCTTCTCTACATAGATAAGTGTATGTGCGTTTTGTTATACACAATCTTTATTCAAAAGGAAAGAATGAAAAGAAACACATCCATTACATATAGAGTCAGATATTCTAATTCTGCCAGGAATAAAAACACCTTTGGTATTTCTTTTATAACTCGAGTTATATACGTCATAGAGATATAAACTTTTCTTTCTGAACTAGAGTAGACGTTTCTCTATCGATTAATACAAGATTACTAAGAGAAAAACCTGCTGTATCACTTAGGGAACATTTCAAAATGTTTGCCGGTCGGCCGGCCACTCTGCCGTTCAGCTGCTCGGACGCTATGCCTCTCTGCCGTTCTCATACCGCTCTGCCGTTCGGCCGCTATGCCGCCCTGCCGTTCTCATGCCGCGGCATAAGAGCACAACACATTTTTTTGTTTTAATTACATTTTGATAGATTAATTGTATCCTTTGATGTTTGTATACGTATACATCATGTATATTGTTCTATTTCTATTCAATATTCTTTAGCGCTAGACTATTCATTTTCTCCAAAAATAATGAATATTTTAATTCGTGATAAGACTTTCGTTCAACTTGATCACGTTGTAAACATGATAATGATATTTGTCTCATTCTTTCTTGAGACCTTTTTGTTTCCTTTTTTTGAACATCAGCTATCTGTAGCTTCGCATAACAAAAATTCTTTAAAAAGTACTTGAAAATTTGATGAAACGTATTATAAATGAATTAAGTGTATAGAAAATAGCTAGTGTCAAACTGAATATGTATTCAAACTGTAAATCATGAAAAATAGTAAAATAGAATAGCATCCATTCATCTATCTTACTCTCTTTTTCAGTCACTTCGCTAGCAGCTGCTAGCAAAACGACTGAAAGGGAGGGAAAGATCAATGAAAAAAAGTGACACCTTCGACAACAAATAAGCTAGTTTATGTTATTATTTTCTTATTCAAACTCACATTCATCATTGCCTTCAACAATTTCTCGAGTTTCTTCGCGTAGATTTTTTTCTTTATACTTTATTAAAGTTAAATAAATAGCCACAAAACGTATGATTTTGTGAAATGAAGATGCACAATAATTATTTTTTCTCCTTTTGAAAATAATTTCTTTTTAAAACTTAGATAAACTTATTCGTTTCATTGTTGGAATTATCACATTCCATTTCTATGTGATGAGAATCAATTAGCAATACATGTCTGAATATTTTCTGTTGCATATTTTACCCTAATTGGCTTATCTTGGATATGCGTATATAACAGTTCATCGATTTTATATGTTCTGTTAAAGAAATAAACAGTCATATTTTTGCTATACAAGAATGGATGATATTTTATTCCACTTTTTTTCATGATTTACAGTTTGAGTACATATTCAGTTTGACATTAGCTATTTTCTATAAATTTAATTCATTTATAATACGTTTTATCAAATTTTCAAGTACTTTTTAAAGAATTTTTGTTATGCGAAGCTACAGATAGCTGATATTCAAAAAAAGAAAACAAAAAGGTCTCAAGAAAGAATGAGACAAACATCATTATCATGTTTACAACGTGACCAAGGGTGTGGGTGTGTGGTTGTGGGTGGGTGCGTGAGTTTGAAACTTCTGTTCACCCACACCCATCTTCATACTCTATTTAATTATTTATTTTTCTCCTTTTTTTTCTTATTATCTTTCTCTCTTCTTAAAAATAATAAAATTAGTTTATAAAAAAATTAAAAAAACAAAAAAACAAATTGTATTAATATTTATTATATTTATCGTTATTCTCTTCTTTATTATACATTAACAAAATATATAATTATCCTAAAATTAAAAAAAATTTGTGTTGACTTGTCAAAATAAAACGAAACGCTTCTAGAAGTAATGTCAAACACCAATATCTTCTGGCATATGTGGAAAGAAGATCTGAGCTTTAGTCTAACCAGAATCATGGTATTGAGCGGTATAGTGTTGCTTGTGAAGTGCTAATATTTTGTTGATCCTGTGCAACGATGGCGAAAACCAAGTAAAGTAGTGTTATAGTGCATTATTTTTCTGCCTTCGATTCACGCTATTTTGCGTCCTTCAAGCTGTTCGAACGATGCGTAATAGAGCGAGCCAAACGACGATAATATTTTTACGGGGAATAAAAATCATTTTTCTCATTAAAATATCTTAATTAATGGTAGAACAAGCAGGACGAGAATAATATTTTCATGGGAAAAAAAATGAGGTACCTTATCAATATGTCATCATAAATGATCGAACAAGCAAAAAGATGATAGTACTTGTATGAAATAAACAAGGTATCTCAGTCATATTTGATGATTAGTTATTTCAAGGACACCAACGAAGATACGCAAGCCAAACTTATATTCATTGTGTAAATATAAGCAACGTCTTGTTTTTATCTCTAATATATAACAACGTCGATATATTAGTATTATTCTGGTCGTCAGCACACAAGACTTCGTATAATACAGAGAGCAAACGTAAGTGTTTTGAAATTGCATTTGCTTCAGAGACCGTTTTCTATCATCAGTATTCAGTGAATTTTTCTATTCTTAAATAGTTAGTAACACTAAGCTTATATTATTTTATTTTTCGTATCATAATAATTTTTTTCCCGCAGGCAAAAATATTCTGAAATTCTGTATGAAATGAATAGTAAATATTAACTATTGTAAAGCCATGCTTGTCACAAACGTCTGTAGCAGAAGTTGTTAATCAACTTTGTGAGGTCCCACGTAGAAAAAAGACCGTTCAACATTATGTTCTTTTACCATTCGAAGAGGTTTGCCCTCGCTGAAAATTAGATATGATACTGTACAGAGAAAAAGTGCTTCAGGAAATTTTTGTAGAGGGATTTCTCTTCGACTAGGTTTTGGCGAAGAATTTGCTTAGAATATTTTCTTCAGAGCGAATAGTTCTAATTAGATAACAGCTGTTTGTATGATATCAACAAAATTTGAGTCAATAGGTTGTGGAAAAACCGTGTTTCTCCTAAAATGACTTTGTGGTTAGGATTATCCGGAAAATTCTCAAGTTATCATGACGAAGTGGATAATGGACTCATTTGATGCTTGTGTTATCCAATACCTCCATGTTGAAGATAAAAATCATAAAAGATTCTTCAGTAACAGATAACGGGTGCATAGTCCTGGAAAAAGGGTGATTTCATTGAAATATCTCTAGCTCTAAAACTTTGATGTATATTTTTCGGTCACGACGAACAATCACAAGTGTAAAACAGTTCGATTTTCCTGTAGTTCCATAGCACACTCATAGTACTAGAAAATAATCGTATCTCAGCATAAATGATTCCCTAGTCTTTTCCTTGATATCTCTCTGGGTTTTTATGGTGTCAAACCATAGGAACCAATTAAATAAACGCCTTCCTTGAGTTTTGAAAACTGTACTCTGTGAGTGTACACTAGAACTCTTCCATTAAAAGCCTATATAGT